GGTTGATCAAATATACGTTGATGTCGGACATGATGGGTCATAGCTTCGTTTCCGAATTTGTAAGGTTCAACAATTTCAAAAAGATAAGTTGGACTAACATGGTTAATTTTTTTAAATACACTATATGCTGATGATCCTTTCGACGTTTCTTAAGAGTGTCCCATCTCATTTCATTATAGATGAGTTCATGACTATTCAAGCATTATCTAGCTGGATAGAGCCAAGAAAATCTGATTTAGTTTGATTAAAATTATTCCATACAGCTCTAGCATACTCAAGATTTGGAAAAATATATGAATTGTATATCATTTCTAGAGATTTCCTATCAAGTTTGTGTTTGAGTGACCTACATATATGCATCTTGTTACATGTATTATTATATATGAAATTGATGTGATCAGACCACAAACCATGGCTGTTAAAAAAACTAACAAGATGTTTATGCTTTTTTACATTTACCACAGAATTGTTAAGAAATGTGAGATCAGGATGCATTTCATCTGCATTTAATTTATTTGATATAAGAAGAGCTTCTGTTTTACTAAGATTAAATGATATACCCCATCAATGAGCCCAGATAGATATTCTATGGAGATCATTGTTTAAAGTTTCGGCATCAGCATTATTGTTATCATTTTCTATAAGTACAAATAGTAAGGTATCATCTGCAAAAATATTAACATTTGACTCGATTTCATTTTTAAGTCATTTATATATAAAATAAATAAATATGACCCGAGGACCGAGCCCTGTGTTGTACACAAGTCCATCAGGCCAGACCCTATCAAAGGCTTTACTAATATCACAAAACACAATTCTTGCCTCTTTTCTTCTATCGAGTTGCTTGAGAATTGAATCATATATTGCTAATAGGTGATAAACTGTAGAATCTTTGGGGAGCAATCCAGATTGGTTCTAAGAAATTATATGATTTCTTGAAAGATAATTTAACAAATATTTGAACATAATTCTTTCAAGCATTTTACTCAACAGAGGAGTAATAGAAATAGGTCTGTAGTTTGATGGGTCACTTTTCTCACCTTTGCCTTTGTATACAGCTGTGACATTAGCATTTTTCCAGACTTTGGGTAATTGACCGGATTCCACTTATTTATTAAAAAGAATATGTAATGGCTTTACAAGAGATTAAGATACGCCTTTGATAAACCTAGGGTGAATCGCATCAGGACTTGCAGGCTTTTTTGGATTAATGAGTTGAAGTTGGTCATAAACATCTTGCTCAGTAATATTGATATTAGATAGTTGATGAGGGAAAGGAGGAGGATTTGGAGGAATGTCTTCAATAGTTTTATCTGATGTAGAAATAGATGTGAAAAAACAGTTTATTGATTCCGCCTTATCTACAGGAGGCACTTTCAATTCACCATTAATTTCCAAAGGATAATCAGTATCATTTTTCATTTTAGAGGTAAGAACAGATTTGGCAATTCTCCACCATTTACCGGGAGGGATATTTTTGTCAATAAGAGAATTTTATGCTGCATAAAATATAACTCATATGGGACTAATGCATTGTGAGTTTATTTAATAACAAGTTAGATGTGTAAAACATTACCTACAAAACACTGCGAAAAGGATAGTTCAGGGTAACTTGTAAGGAATATTTGTGAAGATTATTATTAAAGTTTTCAATCTGGTTTTGTAAGAGTTGAGTTCTATTTTTGTGAATATTTCCAGCGTGATTTACACCGCTGCTGTAACACAGTGCCAATCGAATTAATCATTCGTTTGAGGCTACTGATAATGACGTCAAACTGTTCTTTCTTTCCTTTTACTCGTGTTTTATTTTTATTTTTCGAAGTCGATATATTTTTGCGGAAACAAAACCCGAGAAAAAACGATTGTCATGCTTTAGGAACATTCGGGATAACATTTTACGGTGGTATTGTTGTAAATAACCTCCCTTACCCTATTCATACTGTAACAGGAAAGAGAATAGTGGGCATCCACCGGGGATCATACCCACGATCACCAGGTTCCTAGTCGGACGCTCTACCACTGAGCTAAAAGGAAATTCCCTCTAACTAGAAATTAGAAGGCGACCATAATCCTATGTACAATTGAAACCTGCCACGACACATACTATACAACCTACCACAGTTACTAAAGAAAATAACGTAGGCACCATAACGTCAACGTACAAGGTAAAGTCAGAATTCAATGGTAATGCGACGGGACAAGAAAAGGAACATCACACTAACATTACGTTTTGTTACGATACTAGACGTATTTTAAAGCAATAAAGGGGGGGGGGGGGCATCTTCATGAATAAGCAGGTTTAAACTTTGAAAGACTGTCAAAGCAAACACTATCACTCATATGAAAACAAATAAACATGCGCTCATAAATTGATTTATTTTCAATGAATTCGACCTGCTGATTCATGAGAGCCATTAACACTTTCAATGCAATTGAAGATAGAAATAAACACTATTGTGAGATGAATAAACATAATCAAATTACGCAATAAAAAATCCACAAAAATACCGTTACTACCATTGTCATATCGGTAAAGTCATTCACTATGTAATAGAGCCAGTATTTATTGATTTAAGTGGGTCCCGATTTAGAAACAGTGGTATCTATGATAAGGAAATCTTTGTCTTCACACATAAACAAAATATGGATAACTATTTAGAAACATTTAATTACGTTCTGGATTTAAATACAATTTGATTCTTGTTGTCCGATCGGGCAAAAAGGCGTAATAATATCAATTAGGTATTTTCAGATGATATCAATTCAATGCCTAATGAAAAAAAATAGAAAGAAAATCATGTGTCCGTCATGTTATATAGAAAATCTATGCAACCTTTCCTCATTCTCATTACATGGCTTTTTTAATACAGGAACATCTAGCTTGCTCATGCATAATGATGATAATATAGAGCATAAGCCACTCTAGCTAAAGCGCTTTACAGTACATAGATATACAATTAATACAATTAGCATGTCACCTGGCTAATATCTATATATGTGTGTATATGCCGGTGTGTGTGCTGGAGATGTAATGTGATCTGTTTGTAGTGGATAGTGTCACATCACTTGAACGCTACAGCACAGATACACCGCAACATCAGTTGACTGTATAATGAAGCTATTTGCAGATGATACAAAAATATACTCAAGTATATCTACACCGCGGGATAGGTTAGAGCTACAAATTAACATCAACAAAGTGTGTGAAAGGACTGAGAGGTGGCTCATGAAATTGATTTTAGAGAAATGCAAACATTTGGAAATTGTTTAATACGTTCAGCAATATAGCCAGTACAACTTCACAAACGAAGGAGTGACAACCATGATTGTACAAACAGACAAGGAGAGAGACCTCGGAGTGACATTCGACAAACAGCTCAAATTTAGCGAACATGTGTCTGCAGCCGTCTTCAAAGGAAACAGGATGTTAGGAATTATTTTTAGAACATTTACCTTTCTAAATCAATCAACATTCCTATTATTATACAAATCACTTGTCAGACCTCATATTGAGTACTGCTTCACAATATGGTCACCCCTCCTAAAGAAAGACATACAATCACTGGAAAACACACAACGACGGGCAACTAAAAGGTTAATTACACTGCAAGACTTACCTTACCCAGTCGACTAAAACGACAAGGATTGCCCACACGTGTACAAAATTCTGAGTGGTGTGGACGATGCAGACAAGTCTAAATTATTTACCGAATCCACCTAGCTATCCGGCAACTAGAGGTCACCAGCTAAAGCTCTTTAAGAAACAATGCCGCTTTAACACCACCAAGAACATTTTCAGCAATCGTGTAGTTACTAATTGGAACAATTTATCAGCTGAAGTGGTTAATGTCGAAAGTTTGAATAGTTTTAAAAATAGGTTAAACGTGCACTGGAAAGATCATGCACACAAATTGCATCCGTCCTTTTAATCTACGATGTGTAAATATTAATTAATACTATTGCGACAATTAGACTTCACTAGACGTCCAGATATGTGTAATGGTATATACAATGTATGCCATTCTTCGCGCACTCCGGATCCATCATCAACCAACCAATTAACGAAATGCAGATAAATAACAACATTACAAGCCACAGGCTTTCCATTGATGTCTTACCTATGAGATACCTATGAGATGAGAAAACAAGCTTAGAGCTTATATTATTATTCCTCTCCAAAGTATATGTTACAGGCAAATAATTCTTCGAGACTGTTGACACAATAACTACATGTACAATATTAATTTGAATAAGATAAAGTTTAACTTATAATATATTTACACGTGGTGAAATTTGAAATTGAAACATATTCCATTTAATGTATGATACATCAGATAAAAACCAGTGCGTTACGTTTGGTTTAGAAGTTGACGCACACTTGCACTCCCACACCCATGGATAGACGGACGGACGGACGGACGGACGAACGATGGCACACTCGTACACGTACGCATGCACATGCTCAAACACTCATACACACATGCACTCATGATACGCATACTTCTCGATATAATGTAATAAGGATATAAAATACAAAAATAGGAAATTGATATACATGTATATATATTAATGCTGTTGCCGATTCATCAAGAAACCAAGATTAATACCTGTCAACTAAAATACAACTTTAAGGTACTAATAATGTGCATGGGCTTTCGCAAACTGATACTTTTGAAAAAGTACATAATGGCCATTTTTTTAATTTATTTTTTTGCACCTAAGTGCACATTTTTTCGCACTTTTAAAAAAGTAGTTTATGCATTTTATCCTAAAACGGCCGCCCATACACAGCTACTAGCCTTGTATGTATTGTACATGTAACTGTGTTGTGACGTCACAAATTAATGAGACTAACATGATCAAGTTCCTTAATGAACCTCAAATATCATTAATGTAAATGCTAAAATGTTTGTAGCCCTACTACAATATGTCAGACGGACTGCCAATTTCGTGTACTGAAACCGAAAGTAGGCTAAATTTCCCATTCGGAAAACCTCGGTTTTTGCATTAAAAATGGCGAGCCAAGAAACAAATATCGACAATTTCATTGTCAAGTTGTTTGAAATAGAGGCTATAAAGTTTGGAACCTTTAAGCTGAAGTCTGGCATAGAGTCTCCGGTTTACTTTGACTTGCGTGTGATCGTCTCATTTCCAGATGTCATGGTAAATTACTCTAGTACTGACTGTATCTTCAATAGTTGTGCCTCAAACACGTGCGTTTGAAGAAAATGACATTTTTGTTGTTGATATCTATATCTATATTTTGATTTGTTTTATTTACATTATATAACTTTAAGTTGTTAATGAACTCAAGGGGTCAACCAAATATATTAAACGTCCCTTAGCTGGTCAGCTTATATCGACGTCGACACAGTTTTATTTGGTAACGGGTTGTTTCGCCCCAAATCCCGTTCGCCCTAAGGGTTGTTTCGCCCCAAATCCCGTTCGCCCCAGGTTGTTTCGCCCTAAAAAAATATTTTTTCTTTAAGTCATAAATATCATGTTAAAAGTTAAAAAACTTATCTTTCTCTTGAATCAAGATATAATTACGTGCCGGAAGGTGAAGAACGAACCTGTATATTCATCACCGAATCCTACAACGGACATACTAATATCCGGAATATACTGTATATTATCGTTTTCATTTCTTTACCTTAATTAAGTAATATTGTTATTTATAAAATGCACCTGTATATATTTTAACGTTAAAAATATTTAAAACATGATATAAACAATTAAAAAGCACCCTGTCACGTCAGCCATTTTATATAAAACAAATTTCTCTTAGTACATAGATACGTATACGAAATGGACATAGATTAGTTACAAATTGCGTATATAGACTGAAACTACATACGTATATTAATTGCGTATAAGGATGAAAAAAAAACACTTTCTCTAGAGAAGTATAGGAAATGTAAATAATTCTCCAAGTACATAGATACGTATTTTAATTGTTAAGCAGATGTGTACATTTGAATTATGAAATAAACGTTGGCAATTTACTTAGGGAATTATCAAAATACATTAAATATACTTGTATAATAATGTACTTGTCTGTCTGGCAGGTTCTATGCTGCCAGGTTCTATGCTGCCAACAGTCACACACATCACTTCAGATACCATGCTGTCTGCATCTAACCACGGAGTCGCACAAAATGCACAAATCATCCATAACGTAAATGACGTTATGGATGATTTGTGCATTTTGTAACTTGGCATAAATAGAGCATTTCTCAGTACTGTGTTATAATTCAACATTACTAATGTTGAATTATAACACAGTATTGAAAAATGCTCTATTTATGACAAGTTACCTACTCAAAATTATCTACTCAAATATGCATATTAATTTTTATTGGTCGGTACTATCACAGACTTAAATCCCAGCTGCTATGTACCTGGGGGTGACACTGCAGTCAAACCTCAAGTGGAACACCCACTGTGAGTGTGACAATATAACATCTTATGGTAACAAGGCCCTTGGTTTTCTTAAGAGAAATCTTAAGATTTTTTCAAACACCAATATCAGGGCCAAAGCATAATTACCAGTCACTTGTGCGACCCAAACTTAGTTTGGTACTTGCATATGGAACCCCATGGCCATACACAACGAAATATACAAACAAAATTGAAATGGTTCAACGACGTGCAGCTAGATACGTATGCAATAACTTCCATAATACAAGCAGTGTGTCAGGATTGTTAGAAAATCTCCATTGGACACTGTACTTGTAGTATTGTAGTATTCTATAAAATTGTCCACTGTCTCATTGCTGTTCCTACAACTGATATCCTCTTTCCTATTGACAGTAGAACCAGAAAATCAAATGATCAAAACTTCAGACATATATCCACAACAAACGACTTTGTGACCCTTAAATGGTCCTTCTTTCTGCGCACCATAGTCCAATGGAATGCCCTCATGATGCAGGCCATTGTAGACAGTGCTACTGTAGACACCTTCAGAGATCAGCTGACTCCAGCTGTACTCGCACCTCTCCTACACTAAATGCTACTTACGTATATAGTTTTATGCTAAATAAAAAATAAAAAAACTAATTTTGCGTCCCCCACATGCTCCAGGTAATCTTCTATGCCAAGAAGGTCTGGTGAAACTATAAAGAAGGAGAAGACACTACATGTAATACTACGTCTGCAGATGAATTCCTGAAACTCAAACTCATTCTCTCAAGCACATCCCCCGAACTCAAGACACATTGTATTCAGTGGTGTACAAGAAAGACTGTTTTGAATAACCTTTGGAAATTACACGCTCCTCTAGCCCTTACACCAGACTCGCCGTACATATGGATACATGTTTATGTCGAATTGTCAAAGCCAGGAGATCGGGCCAGACTTTATTTTATAAAGTTATTCTGTTATCATCACTCATCAGGCCAAGTTCCACATGTTATCCATTCTTCACAGCTTACACTTTATTTGGACAGCCTTTTTGGATCGGAAAATTGTTTCATATGTCATTCTCTTAAAGCCTTTTTGAGTCACTTACTAATTAATTGTTATTTATAGGACAAGACCAGTATGTGTTATGCTAGGAGGACATTGGCGAAACCAAAATTGATCAGCTGCAGTTTTCATTGAAACACTCAGGACCCCCATCTTAACTCTTTTTTTTTCCTAACTACATTTTTTTATATGCCTTCTTTTTGCTGATATTAGATCTCCTAATAATGCCTCTAGTACATTCCTAGTGAGTCAAGTTTGTCAGAAATTCATTGTGCCCAGCTGGAGTGTTAGAAATGTATTGTTGTCAGATGAATCTGGTTAATGCTATAGCCATAAATGTACATGTCCATGGTATTACAGAGATCTAGAGAGAACATGTTAAATAGACTCTTTAATTGAGTGGTCCCAAAATCAGCTGCAGACTCTTTGTCTTTATTCAACCTTGCAGGGAGTAAAACAAGCAAACAAAACATCTATTTTTAAACAAGACAAGACTAAAGAGACCTGTAAAAGGGGAGATACAGTGTAATTATACAATTTGAAGAAAACTAATGTATTCCTCAAGAAAGGTAATAAAAATGAGATTACTCATACAACTGAAGTAAGACAATATATAACTAATGATTTTTCCACAAAGAGGATAAATGAAAAAGGGAGGTTAATCTCAAACAGTTGGAAGATGACTCTGTATTTCTCTTCTTACATTGAACATTGAAGAAAAAGTTAGTTGTACTTCATACTCACAGTGAAGATTCGTACAAATATGTATTCAAGCTTTCACTTACAGTTAAAGTTTTAACTGACATCATTTCTGTTACAGAATCAAGTTGCTGCCCTGATGTGGGAGGCCATAGAAAGAAGTGGATGCAAATTCAAGTCAATATGTGGTGTTCCTTATACTGCTTTACCTATAGCAACGGTAAGTCAGGATATTGGACATCTAGTACCACCTTGCCTGCATTAAGAAACCACCTGTTGAACTTCCCAAGAGTGTTCTCTTCATACAGGTTTGACTATAAATGTGTGACCACACCAAATGGTCAAAGTTCAGCATATCCCAGCCTGTAATAAATATAATTGTACCATGATTAATTTATGGGGCACTAATTGTCTTTGCAGTGTATCTGTGTCCAAAACAACTACCCGATGTTGATAAGGCGTAAAGAGGCAAAAGACTACGGCACACGACGTATGATTGAAGGTCGCTATGACGACGGGGACATTTGTCTTATAGTAGAGGATGTGGTCACTAGCGGCAGCTCTGTTCGAGAGACAGCTCAGGTGGGTTACATGTATGTTACTACTATATGTGTGTTTCTTTTAGACTATAAGAGTGCCACTGACTGGGGATAACACATTTGTAAGCTACTCATTAACACATTCTTGATAACATAATAGATCATTCAACATTCTGTATTACATTGTATTATGTTAATCTAATTTAAAAAGCTATAGGAGGAGAAACTTGCACAAAACATACTCCGGCCCTTAATTAATGTACAGTTGTTGTCTCTCCTATGTGTTGTACACTATAAGGTTAAGGGCGAGATATTGTGATACATGTACAGTTGTTCTCTCTCCTATGTGTTATACACTATAAGGTTAAGGGCTAGATATTGTGATACGTGTACAGTTGTTCTCTCTCCTATGTGTTGTACACTATAAGGTTAAGGGCGAGATATTGTGATACATGTACAGTTGTTCTCTCTCCTATGTGTTGTACACTATAAGGTTAAGGGCTAGATATTGTGATACATGTACAGTTGTTCTCTCTCCTATGTGTTGTACACTATAAGGTTAAGGGCTAGATATTGTGATACATGTACAGTTGTTCTCTCTCCTATGTGTTGTACACTATAAGGTTAAGGGCTAGATATTGTGATACATGTACAGTTGTTCTCTCTCCTATGTGTTGTACACTATAAGGTTAAGGGCTAGATATTGTGATACATGTACAGTTGTTCTCTCTCCTATGTGTTGTACACTATAAGGTTAAGGGCTAGATATTGTGATACATGTACAGTTGTTCTCTCTCCTATGTGTTGTACACTATAAGGTTAAGGGCTAGATATTGTGATACATGTACAGTTGTTCTCTCTCCTATGTGTTGTACACTATAAGGTTAAGGGCTAGATATTGTGATACATGTACAGTTGTTCTCTCTCCTATGTGTTGTACACTATAAGGTTAAGGGCTAGATATTGTGATACATGTACAGTTGTTCTCTCTCCTATGTGTTGTACACTATAAGGTTAAGGGCTAGATATTGTGATACATGTACAGTTGTTCTCTCTCCTATGTGTTGTACACTATAAGGTTAAGGGCTAGATATTGTGATACATGTACAGTTGTTCTCTCTCCTATGTGTTGTACACTATAAGGTTAAGGGCTAGATATTGTGATACATGTACAGTTGTTCTCTCTCCTATGTGTTGTACACTATAAGGTTAAGGGCTAGATATTGTGATACATGTACAGTTGTTCTCTCTCCTATGTGTTGTACACTATAAGGTTAAGGGCTAGATATTGTGATACATGTACAGTTGTTCTCTCTCCTATGTGTTGTACACTATAAGGTTAAGGGCTAGATATTGTGATACATGTACAGTTGTTCTCTCTCCTATGTGTTGTACACTATAAGGTTAAGGGCTAGATATTGTGATACATGTACAGTTGTTCTCTCTCCTATGTGTTGTACACTATAAGGTTAAGGGCTAGATATTGTGATACATGTACAGTTGTTCTCTCTCCTATGTGTTGTACACTATAAGGTTAAGGGCTAGATATTGTGATACATGTACAGTTGTTCTCTCTCCTATGTGTTGTACACTATAAGGTTAAGGGCTAGATATTGTGATACATGTACAGTTGTTCTCTCTCCTATGTGTTGTACACTATAAGGTTAAGGGCTAGATATTGTGATACATGTACAGTTGTTCTCTCTCCTATGTGTTGTACACTATAAGGTTAAGGGCTAGATATTGTGATACATGTACAGTTGTTCTCTCTCCTATGTGTTGTACACTATAAGGTTAAGGGCTAGATATTGTGATACATGTACAGTTGTTCTCTCTCCTATGTGTTGTACACTATAAGGTTAAGGGCTAGATATTGTGATACATGTACAGTTGTTCTCTCTCCTATGTGTTGTACACTATAAGGTTAAGGGCTAGATATTGTGATACATGTACAGTTGTTCTCTCTCCTATGTGTTGTACACTATAAGGTTAAGGGCTAGATATTGTGATACATGTACAGTTGTTCTCTCTCCTATGTGTTGTACACTATAAGGTTAAGGGCTAGATATTGTGATACATGTACAGTTGTTCTCTCTCCTATGTGTTGTACACTATAAGGTTAAGGGCTAGATATTGTGATACATGTACAGTTGTTCTCTCTCCTATGTGTTGTACACTATAAGGTTAAGGGCTAGATATTGTGATACATGTACAGTTGTTCTCTCTCCTATGTGTTGTACACTATAAGGTTAAGGGCTAGATATTGTGATACATGTACAGTTGTTCTCTCTCCAATGTGTTGTACACTATAAGGTTAAGGGCTAGATATTGTGATACATGTACAGTTGTTCTCTCTCCAATGTGTTGTACACTATAAGGTTAAAGGCTAGATATTGTGATACATGTACAGTTGTTCTATCTCCTATGTGTTGTACACTATAAGGTTAAGGGCGAGATATTGTGATACATGTACAGTTGTTCTCTCTCCTATGTGTTGTACACTATAAGGTTAAGGACTAGATATTGTGATACATGTACAGTTGTACTCTCTCCTATGTGTTATACACTATATACAAGGTTAAGGGCTAGATATTGTGATACATGTACAGTTGTACTCTCTCCTATGTGTTGTACACTATAAGGTTAAGGGCGAGATATTGTGATACGTGTACAGTTGTTCTCTCTCCTATGTGTTATACACTATATACAAGGTTAAGGGCGAGATATTGTGATACATGTACATTGTACAATGCATGTACTATACATACAAAAACTAAAAAAATCAACCTGTGTTTTACTGTATATACTACTGATCATGAGGGGAATGATAACTTTTTGAATTTTCCTTTTTTCAAATTGTTTGAATTTATAATAATGAAGAAGTAAAGATGGTAACAAACATTCAAAACAAGTCATGAACTGTTTTGTATTTAAAGACAGATGGGTAAAAAAATACAGATTTTCATATACATTCTGTACGTCTGTGAAAAGTAGAACACATTGTAAGTTAAGTTGAGCAAAATCCAAGCACAATTGATAAGCACACTGTTCTCTGAGTGATTAACTTAATTGGTATAACTGGATTTTGATGAAACTTGTTCATTGAGTAAGAAAAAACAAAGGCTAAGTTTAAAGTTGAACAAAATCTGCGTATCTGTTAATATGTATTTTGTGCTTTGATTTGTAGATGATTTCTGCACAATTATTTAATTATATAGCACATGACCTGATGAAACTTGGTCAGTATTTAAGTTCCAAAGTTGAACATTATCTGTGGATGGAATTGGACTGGCTAATATCGTTCAGTCCCCGCTGTACTGTGGTTGAAAAAAATGATATTTCTGATTAAGTGTTTATGTATTGCATTAACTACAATATTGAAATGTAATAGATAAATTGATACTGCCCAACAAAATTATACAACAAATTGCACCAACAAATAAATTAAACCAGGGGAAATAGACAAGATAGCTATTTTCTTCCCAGGTATCTTAATTGTATTGATTTATAATCCCATTTAAAAACAAAACTTCTTATTGAACTAGATAATCACATTTATAAGAATGAAAATTATTTAAATAGTTTTAAAAATATTTCAAGTGTGTCAGATTTGCACAAAACCTTTTTATTTAGTCCTTGTGTGATGCTATCCTATATAAATTCATCCTCAATACTCAAGGGGTTACGCTCACTTTCGCTCTTTGCACCCCTGGAATATGTCATAGCAAAATTCAAGGCACAGGACTAGTCTTAGATTAAAAACCCTGACCAATCGCTATGTTGATACCTGTCCTTTGAAGGTAAGGGGCTAGGGGAGCAACGCGACAGAGAGATTCTTTTCATGTTTCATGTTCACAAAAGATCAAAATAGTCTTCTCTTCTCATCCACAAGTTAAGGTGGTGCACGCTGAGCCTTATATTTTGGTATGACATATTCCAGGGTTAAGCAGAGAGCAAAAGTGAGCATAACCCCTGGAGTATCGAGGATGCTATATATTATATAAAAAGATACATGTTTAAAAGGGAGAGAACTTGTACTGTTCGAAAACAGATGTAAACAATAGAGAAACAAATTTGTTAGTCGTCACATATGAAGATCTACATTGTATGTGAGTTAGTCTTCACAAACGGAGGTCTGTGTGTGTGAAAGAAAGAACAAGTATTTTTGAAATGTTAAAACAAAATATTTGTAGAATACATGACACTATACTTTTAGTCACTACAAGCAGAAAAGGTCAAAGTAACAGATGCTATAGTTTTGCTGGACCGTGAACAAGGAGGAAAAACTGCTCTGGAGAGAGAGGGAATCAAATTATACAGGTACAGTATATTTTTATACATATCTTTAATCTATTTCAATCTATATAGTGTGGAAATGTAAATTATGGCAGTGTGGAAATGTAAATTATGGAAGTGTGGAAATGCTCATAATTTACATTTTTACACTAATATCTTTATGTTGCATTGCTTTCTTTCAGTGTTATTACTCTGTCCCAAGTGTTGTCCACTCTCCAGCGAATGAACAAACTGGACAGTGATATTGTAGATAGGACCATCCAATTCATACAGGATAACAGGTTTGATGGGCCTGCAGCTGACAGCAAGGCAAGCAACGGCTCATCTATTCAAAAGGTAGATCATACATTATTGCTATATATTTGTTATTTAATACACAGACAATGTTTAAATAAAGGTGCTACTAGAGAATCAAATATGAAGCATGTCACTATAAATTCTGTCAATGTCTTCAGTATACATGTACTTCAGTAGTCGTAGTTTTAGCTCACCTGGCCCGAAGGTTTAAAACATTAAAGATCCTTCTCCTTTTGTACCGATGAAGGGATTTTGACCAAACTTGGTCTGGAGCATCATTGGCCAAAGGGTTCTCAGTTTTGTATAAACAGAGGGAAGGATCCCCCTGGGGGCAGAGGGGCAGGGCCAAATAGGGGGAAAATAAGTAAATCTTTAAAAATCTTCTTCTTCTCAACTAATTAAAGGGTTTTGACCAAATTTGTTCTAGAGCATCTTTGGACAAAGGAGCCTCATGTTTGTATAAACAGAGGGTGTGGCCCCTCTGGAGGCAGAGGGGCGGGGCCCAATAGAGGAAATAGGTTTGTTTTTTCTCCTACTATACAAGCATAGGGATTTAAACCAAATGCAGTCTGAAGCATGCTTAGGGACAAAAGAATCAATTTTGTATAAACTGAGGTGTGTGGGCCCCCTTCTTTGTGGCAGAAGGGTAGGGCCCATTAGGAGAAATAGAGAAAAACATTAAAGATCCTTCTTCTTCTGTAGCGATGAAGGGATTTTAACTAAACTTGTTCTAGAGCATCTTTGGGCAAAGGGAATTTAATATCTATAAATGGAGGATATTTTCCCCTCCGTACAAATGAAGGGGATTTAAACCAAATGTGGTCTGAAGCATGCTTAGGGGAAAAAACTTAATTTGTGTAATTTGTATAAAAAGATGCATGTGAGGCCCAATAGGGGAAATACAGGAAAATTGAAAATCTTTCTCCTTTTTATACGCGCGTCAAATTTGACGAAAGTATTATGGTATGGGGTTGTCTGTCCGTCAGGCATAAACTTTTGTTTGTCCGGCAATCTCCTCCTACATTTTTCGACCGATCTCTTTGAAACTTGTTATACATTATAATCATGATGTGAAGTTGTGTCTCCCGTAAAAGAATTTTGATTCGGCGCTTTTTCCAAAAGAAATTGCCCTTTGTTCATTTCAGTATTTGATTTTTTGTCCGGAGATCTCCTCCTACATTTATTGACGGATTTCTTTGACACTTAGTGACACTTAGTAGGCTAAATAATCATGATATGTTGTTGTGTTTCCCTGAAAAGAATTTTGATTCAACGATTTTTGCAAAAGTTATTGCCCTTTGTTCATTTCAGTATTTGAATTTTTGTCTGGAGATTTTCTTTTTTATAGCATGTCAGCTAACCACTCTTAGAATGATGCAGATCTTATTTCAATGTAAGAAAGTATATATCACTATATGGCATTCGACGGGCATATATTGTTCCGCCCCGCGGTACTCTTGTTTTACTAATGAAGGGATTTTCATCAAACTTCTTCTAGAGCATCTTTGGGAAAAGAACACATCACCCCACCCTCCTTGGGACATCAGATGGAAACTCATTTTCTTGGTGTCTTACCCACCAAAACAGATTTACAATGTACATGTAGTTCTTCTTGCAACTTTGTTTCTTGTACTCCTTTGATAAACCTGTATGTTACTCAGCAGGTTTTAAATTGGAAATAAAATACCAGGTGAGCTATTAAGGCCCCTGGGCCTCTTGTTAATAGTTGGGCCTGGGGATTTGGAATTTTTCAAAAAGTGCAGTTTTAATTGAAATCAGGAATTTCATTCACTCTAAAAAAAGTCCATTTTTCTGTACAGACAAGCACATGTACATGTTTATGAATTTTGCATGTATTTTGATATGCCCACATGTAGGTAATGCGATGTATATTATGGTTTGGCATCATCTGTCTGTCTATCTGTCTGTATTGTTGTGTCCGCCTCATGACATTGTAACCCTTGCTTGGATTCTTATTTAACTTGAAAGGATTGCTGTCCATAGCCTAACAGTGTGTCATGACCTTGCCCCAATAATCCCAAGGTCAAGAACAAGGGGCATCAACATCTTCAGAATATTCACGTGATTGTTCACAGTTTCATGTGCGACTCAAACTTTGTTATTCTTCCTTGGATTTGTATCCAGCTTTAGAGGATTGTTACCCACAATCAAAAGGTTCTGGCCCCTTGTTCATTAGCAAAGTTATGGTTCATTATTTCTATAGATTTTTCCGTGTTTGTATGGTGCATATATACTAAAAACCTTCCTTGCCATTTCACCTACATTCAACAAACTTACTATACTAACGTCTTTCCAGAAGGTTGAGTGTCGCAAACTTAAGTAGATCTTGTGGCCTACTTAATTAAGAGTTATGGCCACTCATCCTTTTTCTTATATGATGAAGGAGAACGTTTGGAAACTTTCTTGCCAATTTACCTACATTCACCAAACTTGCTATGGTTTACACCTAATTATTTATATGATCACAAAGAAACTGTATATAGATGTACATACATATTGTTAATAGTTAATTACAATTATTGAAAATCAACCTGTGTGCGCAACCGGAAGGAAGTCGTGTCCAGCAGAAGTTTATTGACAAGGATCATACATCATACAGAAGCCATTGGCTTAACTCGATGTCAACCAGTGATTCCATAGTGATTCTTAATTATAAAGGTGAAATATCACATACTGAAATGAAGTTCCATCCCCCTATACAGGCTAATGGCCCTTTAGTTCATTTTTAAAGCATTTACATGTGATCTTTAATAATAAGTACAGGTGACATTATGCTCCAGGTGATGAGCCACAAAGAGCGTGCTGTGAAGTGCTGTCATCCCTTGGTACGGTCTCTTTATTCCATCATGAATGACAAGGAAACCAACCTGTGCATGTCTGTAGACTTTACCAGTAGTGAAGACCTTTTACAAGTAAGTGACCAGTTGTGTAGACCTTTTACAGGTAAGTGACTGGTAGTGTGTAGACCTTTTACAGGTAAGTGACTGGTAGTGTGTAGACCTTTTACAGGTAAGTGACCGGTAGTGTAGACCTTTTACAGGTAAGTGACCAGTAGTGTAGACCTTTTACAGGTAAGTGACTGGTAGTGTGTAGACCTTTTACAGGTAAGTGACCAGTAGTGTAGACCTTTTACAGGTAAGTGACTGGTAGTGTGTAGACCTTTTACAGGTAAGTGACCAGTAGTGTAGACCTTTTACAGGTAAGTGACTGGTAGTGTGTAGACCTTTTACAGGTAAGTGACCAGTAGTGTAGACCTTTTACAGGTAAGTGACTGGTAGTGTGTAGACCTTTTACAGGTAAGTGACCAGTAGTGTAGACCTTTTACAGGTAAGTGACTGGTAGTGTGTAGACCTTTTACAGGTAAGTGACCAGTAGTGTAGACCTTTTACAGGTAAGTGACTGGTAGTGTGTAGACCTTTTACAGGTAAGTGACCAGTAGTGTAGACCTTTTACAGGTAAGTGACCGGTAGTGTAGACCTTTTACAGGTAAGTGACCAGTTGTGTAGACCTTTTACAGATACACTGTAAGTGGCCGGTAGTGTAGACCTTTTACAGGTAAGTGACTAGTATCTATTTCTACAGGTAATTGACAGTCACATACTCCTTCTGTAGGTAAATGGTGATGTTATTAAGTGACCAGTATTTAAGACCTTCTACAGGTAAGTGACTGAGTATCAATTTCTTTAGGTAAGTGGCCAGTAAACTAACTATAGAACTTTCAAACACTCGGTTATGGAGACACAGTCGCAGTGTCTGTTTTGATCACTAAGCAAATGCTNAAGGGCCCCCCCCCCCCCCCCGAGTCGTTACAAGCAGCTGGTTGCCTCTAGATCTGCACACTGCTGTTACAATTAGTCATTTTAGGGGGAAGACAGTCAAAACTGCTAAGTGTACGTACGGTGTCAACTTTTACTTTAAACAACTTCTCCTGAAAAACCAAGAGGCCCAGGGTGATGATATTTGGCCAGTAGCATGCTGGTATGAAAAGCTACCAAGTGTGTTCAATTGAATGACCTTCACCCATATTCAAGGTCACAGGGGTTAAATATTTTAAAAACTTTTAACAATTTCTTCTAAATAACTAAAATACCCATGGTGATGATATTTGGTCAGAAGCATGCTTGGATGAAGGGCTACCAAATTTGTTCAAATGAATAACCTTCACTTATATTAAAGGTCACAGGGGTCAAATTTGATTCTTCTGAATAATAATGATACCCATAATGTTGATATTTAGCCAGTAGCATGATTGGATAAAGGGTTATCAAGCTTTTTCATTTGAATGACCTTGACCCATTTTCGAGGTCACATTTAGTCAAATATGTATACAATTTTAAATGCCCTAATTTCAATAAACAAAAGGTTAGGGTGGTGGTATTTGGCAAGTTGCATCTTGAGATGAAGGGCTATGAAATTTGTGAAACCTAATGACCTTGTTCAACTTTCAACGTCACAGGGGTGAAATGTTTTTAAATATTTTAACAAGTTCTTTTAAATAACTTTTAATCATAAATACTTATATTTTGCCTGTAGCTTTATTTTAGATCACTTTTAAGGTGTGAGATGTATACCAGGTGAGCGATGCATTGGGCCTCTGGTTATTGTTTCTGATTTTTGGTGTAATAAATCTGCCCTCGTGAAACATAAATTAATTAACCTCTAAGAAACAAAGAATCGTGTTTCCCTACAGTAAGGGCAATACATGTATAATGTAACAAAAAGGGATGTGACATTAAGAGGATCTAACCAAACTGTGAAACATAGGCAAGCATGATATCGATGTCTAAGATGGTATATATATATACACACCCTGTCCTGGTGTTGGAACAAAAAATTATTGACAGTTTACAAAACTTTCTTTTTCCAGAAGTGATTGAAACTCTTAAAAAGAAAATGCTATGGCTGACATGTGTATTGTTATGGACATTTTGTGTTGTTTCCAGCTGGTGGACAAGGTAGGACCACATGTGTGTCTTGTCAAGACACACATCGACATGTTAGAGGATTTTACCACAGATGTTACGCAACAGCTACAGAGGCTGGCACACAAACACAACTTCCTCATATTTGAAGATAGGTAAATATCATTTTCATCAAGTACATGGAGGTTAAATTTTATTATCTACTTATGTCGGTAATTAATCTTATAAGCTTTCATCTTGTTTTCATTTAACCTATTTAAGATTGTGGTCAAAATATTCAACAATTCTGATATGTTATGTTATTTGAAGAAGGAAAACCCAAACACATCTTACAAAACCCAAACACATCTTACAAAATCCAAACACATCTTACAAAATCCAAACACATCTTAAAACGATCTGAGATGGTCAAGTTCAGCGGAAACATTTTAACTTCCTTGTCTTTATTATTCATATAATAATTAAAGAAACCAGGTGAGTAATGTGATACAGGCCTATTAGGCCTCTTGTTTATTATTTTTGATTTGTTTGTGATTCCCTTGGGCCGACTTGGCAACTTTAGTAAAATGAGGTACTGATAAAATTTTGTAAATAATGAATGGCAAAAAAGAGGTAGATTCCTGAAATTATCAAAAAAGGTCAACATTAGAGATACTTACTATTGAATTAACAGTTAAAACCTGGATTATGATTTTTCTTCAGGAAGTTTGGTGACATTGGTAAGACGGTGCATACTCAGTATCAAGGTGGTATGTACAAGATATCAAGCTGGGCACACATCACAAACGCTCACCCGGTACCGGGGCCAGGGATTGTCAGTGCTCTCGCAGAGGTAAGCCCTCCCAGTGGGCTGATCTAGTCCAGTTTGTGACAGCTTCTGGTATTGTACACTAAAGTTTTCAATAATAAGTTCTAGTATTTAGGGCTTTGAAGAAAAAGATTGTTAACCTGTAATCTTGTGTATCTTATCTTTTGAAGAATGGACCATCGACAGAAGTGATTTCCCAACAACCACCATGTGGGATAGAATTGTTTTATCCTTCAATTGCAATACATACTTCCCATGCATAAAATTTCTTTATTTTTCTGTCCGGTGTGGGGTAGATATTTTACCCAGAGGTGAGGCATATAAATATTTTTTTCTGGTGACATGATGTTAAACAGGTTGGTAAGCCACTGGGACGTGGATGTTTGATGGTGGCCGAGATGAGCTCATCAGGAAATCTTGCCACTGGGGAGTACACAAAAGGTATTGCTATCTGATTGACACAGTACAGTCTCCTTACTGTGTTTTGACAATGACGGTACTCAGTAACGGGTAATACCAAGTGATGGTCGATGGTACTACAGCCTGAACAGTTGTCCAGGTTAAATTTCTTAACTACCCAGGTAACCTACTCTCATCACGAGGGCAATATCTTCACAGGATTGCAGTCGGCATAGTACCGTAATATGAGTGCCAATCGGCAATCGAAGGGATAAGTGCTCAGGGACACAAATACCAGGTATAAAAATAAATCTGCCATGAAATACAAGCTTTGTACTGTAGTTTGAAACCTTTACTGTTTGTTTACTTTGATGGTTTTCTTGGTTGCAATCAAGAACAATAGATATTAAACGAGAAAATATTTTAACACTTAGATAACTCACGGTCAAGGATATTATCAGAAAAGGGACCAAGATAATTAATATGATGATTCATGTTTAAATAGTATTGGCCGCAGAATATATAAATGCATTTCTCCGCAGTTGATAAACCAACTCAATATATAGGTGTTGATAAAGATATAGAGTATACATACCAGACTATACAATCATACTCCCTGTGTTTCATCTGCTGGATAACCAAACTATACGCAGTAGGCAACAGTGAAGTGGATGTTAAACTGCTCAAACATACAAACAAATATTGCCTATATAAACAACGTTATAGAGTATACATGTATATACTAGTGTTACCTAATCCTGGATACTTCAGGAGTTATGCACACTTTTGATCTCTACACTCCTAGAATATGTTATAATAAAATTGAAGGCAACGGCTAGCTATTTGATTGGTCTTAAGTTAAAAAAACCTGACCAATCACTAGACTGATACCTGTCCATTAAAGATTACTGTCGTGAATTCGGTGTGTGTTTATTACACACCGTCACAACAAGTAGCTGTAACTGCTCTCAGCTCCCTGAAATCAAAGACAAGTTGGAGGAAAATCACTCACGTGTTGTTGGTTCAATTTCTAGATGTAAATAGACCGCGCCGAGATGTCACATCCAGGTTGTCGGCGCGGTTATCAGTCTAAGGGAGATAACTCTACCCAAAATTCACCACATTACCGAGGAGTGACATCCCACTTCAGAGCTAGGCGATTTTACAGTTACACAACTGACAGATTCTTTTGATGTACATCAAAGGAACAAACTAGTCTCTTCGACACATCCACAAGGTCACCCGGTGCACACTGAGCCTTCGATTTTGTCATGACAATTCCAGGGGTGCATAGAGCGAAAGTGAGCAAAACCCCTGGAGTATCGAGGATGGTATTACCGGTGTTGACAATGTTCTACAGTATAAATGCTGATGCTTTCTTTTCCGTCACAGCTGCTGTAAAGATGGCCGAGACCAATAAGGACTTTGTGATTGGCTTTATATCCCAGTCCCGACTGTCGGCAGACCCTGACCTCGTACACATGACACCTGGTATGTTTCACAACTTTTCATGGTATGATACAATTTATTAACTCAGACAATATTAAAAAGCAGACAAATACAATCCAGTACTACTACAAGGTATGTTTTTCGGATTGTGAAATATTATCATTGCAAACATTTCAATAGTCAAAACAGTACAGTATGAAAATGATAGTTTAGTTAATTATAAAATTAATTGTTATCAATGTAAAATTATTTTAAGACCATGTCATTGGATGGAAGTTTGCTTATAAAGTTGTATTTATATTCATAAAATTGTGTTTACATCAACTTGTGTTATATTTGATAATGTACAAATGAACCAGATTGATGTTGCGATCATAGGACTATGAATACAGGAGCCATCACTTAGCTAAAAGGGCGCTATGAGCTGATGCTGTTGTGCAGTGTTATATCCTTCACCTGTTGTTAAGTTTTCTCTTAAAATGTCCCAAACCCACAGCAGCTAACTTTGGGGTATTGACTTCGGAATTTTGATCCTTTAATTTGGCATTGCAAATTTCTGGACCAATTTAAGGCAATTTAGTCATGAAAATGAATAGTGTATAATTAGTGAATAGTGTGTCACTCCTGGGAAAGAGGAGTTAACATAAGCCTAGAAGGGGAAATAGGGGTTAATATTTAACTTTAATTGGCTTTTAATTAATATTTATTTGAATTTTACCTAACACAGGCATCAAGATCCAGATGGGTGGGGACTCCCTGGGGCAGCAGTATGTGACCCCAAAGATGGCAATCACAGAGAGGGGTGCAGACGTGATTATTGTTGGACGGGGTATAACAGGGGTGTCAGACCCTGTCGGGGCTGCCAAGGAGTATAAACAGGCGGGGTACTCTGCCTATCTGAATACCTTGAACCACTGATCACCAGACCCAGTATGTTAACCAGGAATCTCTAATGATCGGAATCCATGAGTCGGACCACAAGTCTCTGATGACTTTACGTGACGACAATGAACCACTAAGGATTTCAGGCACTGACCATCTATAGGATGTATATGAAAATGAAAACATCAACAACTTTGTTAATTAATTTAGCTACCTTTGATTCCAGTTGGTAAGCATGCAGCATTATCAATTAGTTTCCAGTGCATAATCTAGTGTTTTTGTAGTTGACTTTGACCTTTGAACTCTAATATGCAAACTGGGTCATGCAATATGTATAAAGTTCAATCCATTTTGAAATGAAGCTGCTGGAGTGATGTCATTAAATTGGTAGACTAAATCCTGTAAACAGTAACAATGACTTTTGAACTCTGAAATATGGATGCATTTGATGTATTTTCATACTAAACCATTTTTTATAAAGTTTGAACAAAATTTGTCTGGAAATGAAGGCATGGAGTGATGACACTGAATGCGAAAATAGGTGGCTAGATTATAGAAGGCAAGACTGTATTTCTATATTTTCTTTTGTTGTTTGAGGGCATTTATGTTGTGTTCAATGTTAAGATTGTACAGAGAGAAAGAGGAGAGTGCCATAGTGGAGGTATATTGTTCACCATTTTAAGCAGAAAAGTTTTGAAAATTGTTCAGGAATCAACATTAATGATAAATTGTTTAGTGATGTTGTTGGGAATCAATCATATTTGGAGAGTTTATTATGTTCGCAGAAAATGATGAAGAGAGTAAGTCAAGGTTAATAATATTTATTCCGATTCCATTGACTAGGGAAAAACAAAATTACCAAACAACATAAAATACCATTTACGAAAGTGGATAGCACTTGCTTAAATGTATGTATAAGTTGTTTGAAAATGGTTGCAAACATAATTATACGCAGAAATTGATTGAATTATGTGTTATAGTCAGATAAATCATGTTAGTGAAGTGTACTCTACCTCACTTATTTACACTGCAATCAGATGTGTTCAGAGTATTTCGTATGTCATAAGTCATGCCTTTAAATTTAATATTTGATTGTTTCCTTCAGGTTGTACAAACATGGTATGATAGCTCACAGTTACTAGTCGTTAAGAATGATTGAATCTCATTATTTATTAAGGATCCCTGTTCCACTGAATGCAAAACACTAGATATTTCCACTTTAGTTTTTGTCTAGCTGCCACGAAGTAGCTGAAGTGAGACTAAGGTGTTGCTTTTCCGGGGACAGGGGCGTCAACATTAAATTATTGCTTTCAAGTTATTGTCTCTGAAACTATTAGTGCTAGACCAACCTTACTTGCAACATAGATGCATCTTAGGTAGTACATCTAGACCCATGCATCAAATGCTGGATTGATCTACCTTTTATGGTCCATTGACTTTGTCAGTTTCTCCATCAATATTAAGTTTTTGCATTTAAGTTATTTTTCCTGAAACTTAAAGTGCTTGAACAACCAAACTTGACATTTACATTGATGGTCAAAACAGGGCACAGGCAAGACATATCAATCTGAATGGCCTGTTTGTACATACAGTTACCTTCCCTTAATTCCATTTTAGATGTAACTGTAATGCATCTGGGTCTGCAGTGTACCACTGTGACCAAGTGGTCTGCAGTGTACCACTGTGACCAAGTTGCCTGCAGTGTACCACGGTGACCAAGTGGCCTGCAGTTTACCACGGTGACCAAGTGGCCTGCAGGTTACCGCTGTGACAAACTGGGTCTGCAGTGTACCACTGTGACCAAGTGGCCTGCAGTGTACCACGGTGACCAAGTGGCCTGCAGGTTACCGCTGTGACAAACTGGGTCTGCAGTGTACCACTGTGACCAAGTGGCCTGCAGTGTACCACGGTGACCAAGTGGCCTGCAGGTTACCGCTGTGACCAAGTGGCCTGCAGGTTACCACGGTGACCAAGTGGCATGCAGGGTACCAGGGTGACCAAGTGCCATGCAGGGTACCACTGTGACCAACTGGGCCTGCAGGGTACCGCTGTGACCAAGTGGTCTGCAGGGTACCGCTGTGACCAAGTGGCCTGCAGTGTACCACTATGACCAAGTGGCCTGCAGGAGTTTTGAAAGGTATATATAGTTTACTTCTCAGAAATGATTCATAAAAGCTAAAGTCATGCTAGGAAAAAAGTGTATATTACTATTTACACAGTGGCACAAGGATCCTTAATTAACATAAGCCATTCCACCATTGCCTGCAAATTGACAACGTTTGTAAGGGTTTGTGGTGTGGCAAAGTATATCCTCGAATAGAATATTCATAAAGTTAAAATTGTTTAGTGCTACCTTATTGAAATGTATGATTCTGTAAAAATATGTTGTTGTTTTTGCCCGTAGTATCATAGGACAATAAAAGGTAAGACTTACTGGTTGTTGTTTTGTGTTGTTTCATGTTCAGTTTCGAAAAAAGTATGTCTCCTGTAAACCATGATAACCACAATGCTCTGCCCTCCAATCATTTAAAACCTGTTTGCCTGGTGTGTAGGTCATGATCACTTTCCTGCTATTTTAGAATTACACAACTATATATAGATAACAAAGTAGAAAGAAAATTTAGCATTGTGCGAATATTAATGCCATCTCATTCATAGGTGGAAATGTAAAGGGGTAAAAAATATCCTGTTTTATGTACTGGTATTTCTGTCGTCAGAAGAAAAGTGATGGAAAAAGGATCCCACATTTCTGAATCAAGATGGTAATAGTGACACCTTCCACTACATATACTGAACATGTACCTGCTGATAACAAAGTTATATTTCGTTAAGTTCTCTCATCAACAACAAACTCTGAAAAACAATGTGAGCAGAGGCCCGCATAGATATACTCTTACCCCAACTGCCAAAGAATGATCAAGTTTAACCTTCAACCCTTTCAACATTTACAGATGTGAGGCAATGACCACAAAAATTTAATTGGGTGTAGCAAAACTTGACTGAATCTATCACTGGGAACCAGATAGCTTAAATGGGTAGACTGTCCATTTAGAGTTTAGAGTTCCTGAGTTTGAATACCCGCCTAGCCTTTACATTTTCTCTTTCCTGTTACTTTTGGTGCCCAACTAAATAATATCCACAGAGGTACCAGTGGTAAAGGGTTTTGTTTGACTTTTGAAGGATTGGGGGGGTGTAGCAGAACTGGACTGGGTTGATTGTCGGCGACCAGGTAAATTAAATGGTTAGTGTCCGTCTAGATTTCGGAGGTCCCGGGTTCCAACCTCAATCTGGCTTTTGCGTTCTTCCTTTCACAACAAAAACATTAAGAGAGTTACACACTGAGAAAAAAAAAAACCATTTTATGAATGAAATTTCGAACTTTGAAATTACGTATAATGTTATATTTGAATGGTATATAAGAATTCTTTGTTAGCATTTAGCTCAATATCAATAACTAAATAGACAAATTCAGATCTGCAAATGTTTCTACAGGCCCTGGTTCGGAGTGCCCCCAAAGTATAAGTAAATATACACACAAATTTTCAGAGGGAGATAACTCTTCAAGATAGTCTTAGTTTCGATTCAAAGGTCTGTATTACTCATATTGGTATAAAATTTCAGCAATCGGGGCACAATACTCGCATTAAAAATACCAAGTGATACTGAAAATATTCCCCCTCTTCGGTTTCCTTCTTTCAGCACTCTTGAAGGCAACGCTTCTCCTTTATATAAACTTGATTTAGTCTAGTGGTAGGACACCGGGTTCGTGACCGAAGGGTTGAGAGTTCGACTCTTGTCACGGCACTGTGTTGTATCTTTGAGCAAGATACTTTACTCCGCTTGTTCCAGTCTACTCAGCTGTAAATGAGTACCTGGTTGGGAAGTGCTAGAATTGTAGAATGCTAGCTGTGAGCGCCAAAATGGAAGCACCGGCTATATGCTCCCAAAGAAGTTTAGAAATATATTGGCTAGTTGCAAAGGCCCTATAACCACTGATAATAATTTGTGAACCGCTTTCAGACAACCTACAAACTAGGTTGTGATAAAGCGGTGTATAAGAACCTTGAATTATTATTATTAATTTCCTGGTTCTGAGGATGCCTCAAAACAAACTGAAAGTTGTGATAGAGGGACAGATGATTGTTGATAGCTCCTAATTCACACCAGCATGTATGGTCCTGCCTAGTATCATGACCAAAGATATTTTGGTTATTTAATAAAAACTGACTTGATTTTGATCAATGACTTTGAAAGTAGATGTAGGTCTTTCTTTTGAACAAACTTGCAAATGTAGCCCTTTACACCTGCATTCCAAATACCATAACCCTAGACCTCTTGGTTATTCATTGGAACAGCATGGTAATTGGTTAAAATATTTTAACACAATTGACCTGTGACTTTGAAAATGGTCCAATGTCCAAATGCACTCGCCTTTCACCAAGGCAACCAGGGTTCCCAGCCCGCATGGGTTTTCTCCAGGAACTCGTTTCCTCCCACATATAAGACCCCTGAGAAAAAAACATCTGGGCTAACAAGAGTGATTTATATACAAATTATCATTATTGCAAAATAAACAAAGTTTATATTTATATATAACCTTCAACTCCTTACCTGTCCATCAGAAGTTATTTTAATATAAAAACACATTTGACCTCTATGACCTTGAAAGTGGACTAGTCATTGATATGAACAAATAAACAGTCCTTCAATCCAGTGTGCTGACGGCTAAACATCATGACCCCAGGCCTCTTGGTTTTTGTGAAGATAATTTTTAAAGCTTCGTTCATAAAAAAGCCTAACCTTTGACTTGCCAGCTTTGAAAGTTGAACTTTGACATCAGCTTAATGCTATACCTCAGAAAAAAGAGGCATAAGAATGTTAAGATAATGTCATGTGATATTTTTAATATATTTGACCCCCCCCCCCCCTTCAGACCTTGGTATGTCAACTAAGGTAATTATTTGAAACTGCTTGATAGTATTCCATCCAAGGAAGGTACTGGCTAAATAAAACAAGAGGCCCAAGGGCCTTAGCGGTCACCTGAGTTATATCATAGGTACTGGTAGCTTTATTTTATTGTTTAGATGTGATGTGGAAATCAGCATGTAAACTAAGTGAAATACAATACTTGTCATGTCATCAAAGGATAAGAATTTTAAATTATTTGTAAATGTTCCCTTTGGGGCCCCACTCTAACCCCTGGGGATGGGGCAGGAATTCCAAGTTTACAATTTGATACCGTCATCCACCAAAGATGATTCTGACCAAGTAAAAATAATTTCCAACAGACAATTGTCAAAATATACCCAAAAGTGTTGTTTCCCTATATAAGCTATAGTAAACTTTACCCCCTCTCCAAGGGAGAACGGATAGCTTGGGGGTCCAGAAATTTACAATGTAAATAAAGCCCCTGATGATCTTTCCATCCATGCAGAGAAAATGACTGTAATACCTCTGAATCTGGAGAAGAAGATTTTTGAAATATTGGTTAATTTTCCCTTTTGGGCCCCGCCCTGGCCCCTAGGGTTGGGATAGGAATCCCAATTTTACAACCATCTTCCTCCTCCAAGGATAATTTTCACCAAGTAAAAATAATTTCTAACAGAAAATGTCAAAATATACCCAAAAGTGTTGTTTCCCTATATAAACTATAGTAAACTTTACCCCCTCCCCAAGGGAGAACGGATAGCTCGGGGTGATGATCTATCCATCCATGCAGAGAAAATGACTGTAATACCTCTGAGTCATGAGAAGAAGATTTTTGAAATATTGGTTAATTTTCCCTTTTTGGCCCCGCCCTAGGGTTGTGGTAGGAATCCCAATTTTACAATTTGGTAGCCTCATCTACCAAGGATGATTCTAACCAAGTTTGAAAAAATTCCATCCACTGGTTCTTGAGAAGAAGTTGATAAAGTAAAAGTTTATGCACGACGGACGGAAAGTGATTGGAATAGGTCACTTGAGCAAAGCTCAGGTGACCTAATAACTACATCTGAAAGTTCTGAAGAGACCCTATCTTTTAGTTCCGAAGAAGTCATTCAAAAGAAAAGCCGTCAACAACACGCATCACACTATTTTATCATGACTAGATCATACACTCTGTGTGCCAGATGTCAGCTGTATACCAATGTATCAACAAATAACAATCAAATCAATATTAAATTAATACATGTTTATTGACAAGTGCAGTTACTACATTGTATTGAATTAAATTCAAGGTCAATCACAAAATGGTCAAATACATCTCTTTGACAAAGACCAAATGAAAATATTTATGAAATCATAATGTATAAATGATTTGACTTCACTGAGCTCAAATATGTATAAATTGTTCAGTATATATGGATGACACAAAAAAAATAAAAGTGAGAAATTCATTTTAATGTCCTCTTAAATGAAAAACGAATGGTTTAATACCATGTCGGTATAGCCATAGAAATTATACAATTAGCATCATGATACTTTTATTTGTAGAAATTTACAACTTTAGAAAACCTCAGAAGTTTATTCGATGTGTAGCTTCAGAATTGTGATGATGAATCTTGCACAGAACTGACACTGATTCACTACAAGATAAAGCCATCACAGTTCAGGTCCAAATCATTGAGAAATGCTTTCACTAAAGTCAGATTTATAATTTCACTCTTGTCAAATGACATTAAAAATGATGATGAAAATAAAAATATTTCTGAAATGTTTATGAATTCAACATTTGTTTACATGTCTAGATTGGACCAATGAGTATCTTACAAAATTTTATAAGTTGTCTACAATTAACCGAAATGTTGGGTTCTATCTGACTAGGTGCAGCATGATCAAGCCAACTTGTTCTTTCCAAACGGTCAAAAGAGTTCCTTGAAGCACCATCAGTACAAAATACAACACAAGTTCTGACTAAGAAATTCTCAAATTCAAAATCAGAACTAAATTGCTACTTGCAAAGTCTCCAGAGATAATATGTATTGCACACAACAGTTGCAGGGCAGCTCCTCATTTCTCTGTAAAGATATATAACCAAAGTTCCAGTTCATTTGACTGGAATCTCCACATTTCTCCACATATCTTCAAAATGATCAACATCAGAATCTTCAGTACTGGAAACTCCGCTTTGTCTGAATATCCTCCAGGATCTGTTTAAGTTCTTCATCTTCAAAACGCCCTTCTAAACTGTAGAATAAAAAAGTTTTACATAATACAATATCAACAAGAACAATAGCAAGAGGCCCAGAGGACCTGCATGAAACTAACAAATGGGTAACTTCAGACCTTTGGTTACCCTAGGTCCTCCAGTTCTTCAGAAGAAGCCTTGGGACAGGCGAGCTAAAAATTTAGATAATATCTTAATTGCTTGTACAGAACCAATCCTAAGTTACAATGTACAGCAATAACATACGAAATTAAAGTTATGCATATGTTCCCAGGTTCCAATTTAATTTTAAATTTTTCATAGAATGGCCCCCCTTAATTTTGATATTGACTTAAAATTGCTGAATATGGCCCACTGCTCTGAAATTCCAAGATTAGTTAGTATTTTATAAGTACTACATCTCCCTCAAAATGTACATCTAAAAAGCTAGATCTCTGAAGACACCTCTCAAACAATTATTGGGCATGAAATTATCATAACACTTGACTGTATATATATGAGGCCTTCAACAGGTTTTTATCATACGCAAAAGTACAGTTATCAGTACTACATCTCAAAATTCCAGGACTTAGTTATTTATGTTCTCTGCACCCCTCGAATATGTCATGACAAAACTGAAGGCACACAGCTAGGTATTTGATTGGTTTAAGGTAAAAATAAGACCAATCATTAGGTTGACACCGGTCCTTTGAAAACTACAGAGTAGTGACATTTAACCTCAATGTCGACCTATTTCACTGTTTCCCTACATCAAAGGATTAAACTACTCGCTGTTGCCCTACATCAAAGGATTAAACTACTCACTGTTGCCCTACATCAAAGGATTAAACTACTCACTGTTGCCCTACATCAAAGGATTAAACTACTCACTGTTGCCCTACATCAAAGGATTAAACTACTCACTGTTGCCCTACATCAAAGGATTAAACTACTCGCTGTTGCCCTACATCA